CACACCCACACCCACACACCCATACCCACCCACACCCACACCCACACCCACACCCACGACCGTATTTATCTAAACTATCTCCCTCTCTCTAAAACTCTTATCATGAGAAAGTGATAAAATGATGAAATACTCTTGACATGAAGAGAATTTCTTAGTAGTTACTAATGAATAACATCATTCACATAATAATTTAAATTTCACTAATCGGTTGTAATAATGTTAAGAGAAATATCAATTTCCCTTATCGAGATTTGAGTAGATGCTGTCTTCGTTTTTATGATTCATGTTTAGTTACTTCCTTTCTTCTATGATAAAGTTAATTATTTGACGTAATGTAGATAAATTATAAAAGTAACGTCATATAATTGCACATACAAGTAATAATTTCTTTTTTTGTATTTTAGAGTATATAAAGCTTTATTTTTTTGTATTTAAATTATTTTTCTGATATCAGTATGAGTCGGAGCAAGCAACAACACAACAGTAAATCTGACCATTATGATGATAGCGAAGAAAAGAAGTTCGAAAGTCAGTCTTATAGTAATTTTTCTGTTCAATATATCTCATTTCTAATTTTTTTTTTTAGTAACAACAATCTATCAGAACACGTTCGTAACATAAAATTATTTTGTTTTGAATATCTAACTCTTATTTTTTCGTTTCATCTAGATCATCATTTACTCATTTTGAAGAACTTTGTAATGAGATTATTTATGAAATATTTGATTATCTCGATATGTATCATGTGTATGACGCGTTTTTTAATCTTAACATACGATTTCGAAATCTTCTTCTGAATTTTCCTTTTCCAATCAAAATCAATATGTCATTATTATCAAAACGAAATTGTCAATCTTATTATAAACAATTTATCATGCCTAATATCAATCGAATAATTTATCTTCATTTATGGAATCCATTCATCATTGGTATTGTTTGTGAATCTCTTAACAATATTTGGAAGTTCAATAGACTTGAAACACTTATTCTCGATAATATTCATTCACTTAATCTTCTTGATCATTTGGCATCTCTCTGGAATCTTTCTTCGTTAATTATCAATGAAGTTGAGGTTTTAAAAAACGATTATATTCCGTATAGTTCAATATTTCGTATACGTACTTTGAAATATTGCAAAATATTATGTGAAACCGGCTATTTTACGCCATTAGCTATTGCTTCCAATAAAACAAGTCCTATCGAACATTTAGTTATCGATCAGATGACTGGATTAAAACAACTTACTCATCTTTTATCATATGTTCCTCACCTTCGTCGTTTATCAATTAATCATTTGCATGGATTTGACCACAGAGCAATTACAGTATTTCCAAAGATGTTAAATAAATTAACGCATGTTTCTCTTAAATTAGAATATATTACATTTGATGAATTTGAACCAATTATTAAAAATTTTTTTCATTATCTTCAAGTTTTACGAATTTCAACCAGTGTTGATATAGCATATTTGAATGCTAATCGATGGCAAAAATTAATTTTGTCAGATATGATTCATTTACGTATTTTTGATATTGAACATTCATATTATTTTAAAGATCATAATAATCAAACTATATTTTCTTCTCTGATCAAACAATTTACATCTTCATTTTGGATTGAACGAGGATGGTACTTTGTCAATCAACATTCAAGTAGAGATGGATTGAATTGTGGAATATTCTATTCAATACAATCACGCAGGTATTAAAAAAATAAATAAGTTCTTTTCTTAATTTGAAATATTAATTTTATTTTTATTTTCAAGGAAAAGAGACTATATATTATCTAGTGAGAAGGATCAAAATAATCATTCAAACCATGTTACAAGCGATTTTTATTTAGTTCATCATGTTCATATTCAAAATCAATCAGCAATGGATAAT